CACGAAGTGTAAAGCAATCTGTTGCTGCCAAGATACGCCTGTACAGACCAGGAGAGCATCACGTCTCCCCAGGTCTGACTGATGGACACCCTGTCTGTCACAATGAAGGTGCACTTCATCGGCTTTCAATGGCTTCCTTTTCTTCTGCGGTATCCCCGGTGGACTCACACTGTCCACCTTTGGGCTAGCAGCCAAGGGCACCAACCATTTGCTCCACTTGGGGACTCCTCCCACATGCTGCCTGTGGTTTGGAACCACAGTCCACACACACACACACACATACACACACACACACACACACACACACAAAGAGCAATTTTACAAAATCAATTTGCTGCTTCAGTCAAGATCAATGGGAAGGTATGAAGGAACAAGAGAAATATTTAAAAAGGCAATTCAGCAGTCAATGTAACATTCTTCTTTGAAATCCATGCTTTTTAACCTGGTCCTGCCACTTCACACCCGAGGTGGTCATCAATACTACTCTGGAAGCGAAGAGGGTGGTAGTGGAAGAGCAGGCCCTCCCCTGGGTCCTCAGGCTCACTGCTCTCCCATCCCAACTATGAATGCTTCCTTTCTTTTCCTTCTCAATCACCTGTCTTTTCTAAACTCTCTCCTTTCTCGTTCCATTCTTGGAGCACAATTGGGATGTAATGTCTGGGTTGCACACATTCCATAGCTAGAGATGCTTTGGTTTTTCATGCCATCGCTTACAATTCCCTCTCGCTCATCTTTTCTTGTGGTTTATCAATCATAGTCTTACATTCCTATGTGAACCGAGCTGATGCAGGCGTTTCCAGAACTGAGACCTGCCACCAGTGTCTATGCAGACGAAAGTGCTTCATGTAACCCCTGCCATCAGCTGAGCATTCTGGGGGAAGGCCCCAGGCAGCTTGAAGGCAGTATTTTCAGTTAAGTTATGCTTTCATGGGACAGAATCATTTCTAAAAATGTGTAGTCTGGAGATCTAAACTCTGCTGGACACAAAACGTGTTCATATTGTTGCCGTCAGGCACCCTTGAGTTGGTCTTGACCCACAGCGACTCCACACCGAACCATGCAGAACTCTGCCAGCCCCGAGACCGCACGCTGGTTGTTATGTTTGAGTTAGGAAGCTAAACAATGGCCACAGGTGTGAAGATGGGGAGGACCAGGCAAGGGTCCCTTCTGTTAGACAAAAGGTCTCTGAGTTGTAAACTCCATCCCACCTACATAAAATCAGCTGAGAGAGGGATTTGAAACCAAGTACTAATAAAGAGAAGAATACCCCCAACTTCCTGCAGGATCACAGGCCTCAGAGCCACAGAGATCACCCTACTTAGACTT